ATAAATATATATACACAAATATACATCACACTAAACCAAACTATAACCCTAGCCCTAACTCCTAGTATATCCCAGGTGCTCTCAGCATGCTCCTTCCCAAACATCCTAATTGCCCCAGCATGTTTCCAGTTGCCCCCAGCACGATCTCTTCACTCCCAGTATATCCCAGCTGCCTCCAGCACACACCTGCCATTCCCAGTTGCTCCCAGTAGCCCCCAGTATGGTCCCTGTGTTACAAATGAATGTTTGAGTTAATTTAAAGGATCACCAGCGAGGGGATTGGTACAAACCTGATTTAATATTAAGCATGACAGAGTTTGTTGGAAAAGGTTCGCTCTGATACTTATGAGGTGGTTTAGGCACTCTGAGGGAAAAAAAGGAACAAAGATCAAAACTGTCAATCAAAGCAGAAATAAACTGAGAATTCTGTGCGGGTGTGGGGGTGTGGGTTTGTGTTTAGGTGCATGTGACAAAAGGATAGAAGGGGCAAGGACAAAAAGGAATATGGCCTAAAGGCTTAATGGCACTCAGAAGTACTTACACCTGATTTATAACTTAAATTTAAGAGTTTAGCAAAGGAACAACACTTAACAGCATTTAACTTAATTTATAACTTAAATTTAATGTACCTACAGGCCTAACTTACTTAGATAACTAAGGTACTTGAAAAAGAAAACTAATCCTCTGGACTAAGTAGGATTTAGGATTATTCTAAATTTTAGAAAATATAACATACGTTGATATATTCTGAGTGGGATTAAGATATATACTTAGACTAAGAGTTCCATAATGATTATGTTTATGGCCCTGTAAAGGTTTTCTTCAGGAGACTGGGGGAAGTCAGAAATCCCCTTCTGTTCAAAATAAATGTCCATGTTTTGTTTAAGAGCCACACAGACTGCTTCAGAATACTCCATTTGCTCTGCTGTCTAGAGCAAAAGATTGATGGCAAACCAATTCTCCTCTCATCTGCAGATGGCAACACTTGGTGGTGGAGGAGATACAGGATCTTAAGAGGGAGAGAAATATTTCAAACACAAATATTTTAAAGATTTGAGCTTTTTACTCCCAATTGATTTTAACTAATTTCCATAGAACATTTTTTTATGCCATTATTAGCATATAGTAGAAGTATCCTATGATGCAAGGGAAATAGATTCAGGGCGACGATAAAAGCAAAGCTCAAACAAAGAAAGAAAACCATGGGGATGAATGATTCCTAGCAGGTACATAGGAATCTTACCTATCTGACAAGGATTTGAAAAATAGGGGAAATGAAGTCAGCAAAGGCCTTCTGAACTAAAGAGAGACTCATGCCAGCAACTGTTTGGTCAGTGCCAAAACACAGGTGACTACTAGGCATAAGTGAGATTATTATTGCTGCAAAAACATAAAGTATGAGCAGCCCATTTAATTTTGTTTTTACATGCTATGCCTATTTCCTCCTCTTGCCAGTGGTTCACTGGCCCAGATTTTGGTGAAAATACCAATGAGAAAAATCAAGAACATTCCCGCTCAAGCAAGAGAAACTACATTAAGGACACATTCAAAGGAAATTGAGCCCCTGCTTTGCTTTTGTATGAACACAGCATGATTTCTCCTTTCTTTCTTTCTTTCTTTATTTCTTTTTCTTTCTTTCTTTCTCTTTCTTTCTTCCTTTCTTTATCTTTCTTTCTTACTTTATCTTTCTTTCTTTCTTTCTTTCTCTTTCTTTCCTTCTTTCTTTCTCTCTTTCTTTCCTTCTTTCTTTTCTTTCATCTCTCTCTCTTTTCTTACCACTGAGTAGCTCAGACTTTATAAATCTGAAGAAAAGTTAATAAAAGTTGACAGTAGAAAATGATCTGATGGAATCAAGTGAAGCATGTGGATGAGGAATCACCACTACACCATGCTACAAACTGAATAAGTGAGAAGGTGGCTAAACTTGGCCTCACCTTCGTCTCACAATAGTACACAAGATGCATCTCTCTCAAATTTATAAGCACTGTCCCTTCATAAAAACTGAGTTATTGTGAGCATGTCCAGACTACAAGTGCCCCTTATTTGTACCACGACATACAGAATGTAAAAGGTTGGGGTTTTGAGATTCTTTAGTATCTTCAGCCAAAACAAGAACAACCTTAGCTTTCATAAGACAGCAAAAATAAATTAAGAGTAAGAAAGAGGGTTCAGTTTGGGATAATTCTGATCTAGTTTGTACATGTTATTAGCTGTTAAACTAATCTAAACTTGCATTTGAGAATGTGACCATGTCACATGTACAGTATCACCAGTAAATGGATTTTTTAAATCTAAATGTTATATACATGGAATCTCAACATTTTTCTTGACGTGGCTGAGTGATTTATCTCAACAGATTTCTGCACTTGGGATTTTCTTTACTCAAAGATGCTCAAAGGAAGCAGTTTAATGCAAACTCTCAATATGTCACATTTTGGCAGTGATTGCTTAATGCAGCAGTGCACAAATGAATTGCTCCACTGCATCCTCTGATCATGAATATGAATCGGAGTACTATAAACTGAACTCAATGTACTGATAAGTGACTGCATCTGATTGTGCCAGCAGCCAGATGATTTTCTCATTAATGAGCTGAACTATTAAAAGATGGAAGAATATGAAGCCAAGCCAGCATTGCCTGAGCCTCTTTGCTGACATTTTTCCAAGCCTACCAGAAAGCTTTGTCAACCAGTGAAAGAAAATTAATCCCAAAAAATCTTTTCTGAATGAAGGCAAATAAAAGTTTCAAGGCTCAAATTCTGTTTTGGATTACATGGATGTGACTCCATTGTCATTGAAGTGTTTCTGTTTTAGTATGGGACAATCCAGATTTTGATATTAAGGAGTTATGGTCTTCCTTTGCTTCTCAGTCTCTGCTAATCTGTATATAGGAGCCCATGGCTGCCAGGAAAAGACAGAGAACCTCATTTAACTAAGCTGACTTCTAAATTCATTAAACTGAGACACAGATTTATGGAAGGCATGTGGCAAATGCATCCTCTGCAATAAAAATAAGCCGTTAGAAATATTTTTAATTTGTATATTTTCAGAGTGTTAGTCAATGTCAAGTACTGATGTGTAAAAATCCATTATTGTTTTATTGTTTGCAAGCATCACCATGTTGTTTTGCAGTTTAAATATGGCCCCATCTCAGAAGCACTTGCAGTACAAGTCCAGAGTAAGGCATTGAGATCAGTTGCAGAGCCCATAATGTTTCTAGAGCTTTGATCCTATAGAAATGTGACATGTGCCTAACTAAAAAAGAAAAGTGAAGAGCACGTCTGCAGGCACCACCACTGCTACGGCAAATCTGCCTCTAGAGGGCATTGCAAGCTAAATGTTTTCCCTGACAAGTGTTGAGAACATCTTGGATCAGCCCAGAAGGCAATTCTTAAATTGCCTAAATTAAGAGATTTTGCTGTGTTTACAACATCAGCTATGCAGCGGACAGAAAAACTATTGGGCAGCAACACTGAAGGATCTTTAATCTGCTGAGCAATAGAAAATAGTTTTGGTAAGAATATACGTTACCAGACATTTTCTAATATGAAGAAGCTTTTCTAACAGAAGCTTCTCAGGATGAGACAGGTCGTGAGCCAATTTTTGCACATAGCTGTTCCCTTTTAATGACTTTGCTTTCATCCTTCTATGAGCACTGCCATTCCCACAGGTGGCTGAATCCAAAGATCATTCACTGGTCATTAGCAAGGAGGTACAGAGGCTTTGAATGCTTAGCACCTGGCATGTAGGCCAGTGCATCTGGTACAAACCAAATAACATTATTATTTGACTCTCTCAAGATCTATGATCTGTACAAATTGCTCAGATATAAGTGACATCAAAGCATTATGTTTCAGGCTTTTTGTATGTAAGATAAAAATATCCAGGTGACACATCATGAGATGGTAGTGAGCTGGTAGGACAGGCTCTTCCTAGTAGGGACTGTTTTCTAAATGTCTTATTAAGCCTCTGCAGACATCCACTAGGAAAAACCCAAAGAGTATTTTTTTTTTTATGTCCTCTGTACAGGTGAACTAAATCAGTTCAGATTACAAAAACTACTTTTCTGCTGCTGAAAAGCAAGGAACATTCTTGTCTTGCTGCATGCTGAAGGCAATATTTTGTCATTGCAGAGAACAGCACTCAGGTCCTTTGCTATAGTTCAGCTATGGATGTTTTACTATTCCCATTTGTTCAACTACAGTTAACTAAAATATATTCAATATATTCTTCTTTTTCTGAAAATCGGAATTTGCCTTTTTGCCCTACCATCACAGTGATTCTTTTTGATTTTTAGGTACCACTGTGAGAGTTTTGCTAAATGCCATAGCCAGCTACATTTCTAAGAGGCTACAAGTCTTGCAGACTCTTCAAGGTCCAGGAGTCCCTTACAAATTTTCAGAGTGCTCAGCTCATTTCCTGGTACCTTATTTCCTGGTGCTATTTTGTGTGTCAAGATTTTGTACAGTGATAATAGATATTAACATCTCTTATAAGACAGAAATGTCTTCTCTGAAGCACATAGCATGCTATAAAACAACAATAATAAGGAAACCCAGAGTATATAAAATGTAAAAAATATAATTGTCAAATATACTTGAAAAAGCAATTTGATAATTGAAACAGAAGGGTAAACCATATCAGGAAGAAAGTTATACTGGAATAAAGTAAAATAAAATACTGACAGTTGGTTACACAATAATAGCATCACAATTCTTCCTGTCTTTTTCATTATATTACTGCAATGAATAGAAATATTAAAATTTTAGCTTTAACTGGCTTTAGTTAAAACTGTAAGTTTGCCACATGCAAGCATTTTGATTTAAGCAAGACACCAAAACAAAATGGTCCCTCTAGAATAATTATCAAATGGTTTGTGTAAATGTGAGTAAGTCCTAAATGTACTTAATGAGAAATAAAAGGACTCCAGGATTATACTGTGGCTACACAAAATAGTTTGAATACTATATGCCCATGAATGACATAAATTCTGTTTCAACTTCAGATAAAGAATATTGGATTCCCTGTGAAAAACAATTTGAAAAAGATGCCCAAATTCCAAACCTCACAGGTAATATGTCAGCTACTCTATTGGCTTTGTGGATGTTTATTTATCCAATAAAGTAAACAGACCTGGTTTTTGTGTAAGAACATTTCTGGTTATCTGCTTAGAAACAGAAAAGTTTGGGTGTTTTTTTGGCAAGAGGAGGAAAGGTGTGTACGTATCAAACAATTCCCATTGGAAGTGTTGGTTTAACCTCCCTCTGTGCTCTGGCCCCTCAGCCATAAGCACCAGCACCCTGCAGTACTGGCTGCATGGGAGGCTGTGCTGTGTCCTGGGGGCAGAGGTACTGAAAGGAAGAAAGAGAGAGATTAATCTGATAAAGGCATTGCCATTTCTAATCGGACTGATGGGAAACTGTGGTATGAAGTTAAAGAGGCAACACAGGGTGAATTACCGTGATGAACTACCTTAAAGCTGAAGCAATCAAATAGATAGCTCTCACATATAAAAATTACTGTGCCATCTTTATTCATCAACAGTTTTGCACAAGTGTCTCACGTTCAGTCCCTTCCAGGAACAACTAAAGCACTCTGATACATTGGATCAGATTAAATCTTACCTGGGAAACTCAGCCACTGGGGTTGCTGCTTCCCACTTCCCCAGACCTAATTTCTCATAACAGAAATAAACTTTTTAAAGTTTGAGACTAACAAACTCCAAAAGGTAATACCAGTACAGAACAGTGCCTGCTCTTGCAACCTGCTGGAATAGAATTGGAAGGGCTTTTTACTCTGTTGTCTGGTAGCAGTAAAACTTTTTCACATAACCCAACAGGTGAAGACCTATGGAAGGGAAATTTGTGACTCTTAGTATGTAGAATCAGAGAATGGCTGGGGTTGCAAGGAACCTTAAAGATCCTCCAGATCCAATGTCCATGCCATGAGCAGGCATATCTTCCACTAGACCAGGTTCAGAAAGCATTCATACAGACAGACATTGAAGTTTTCTTCACATTTATAGGGGCCATAAGAATCACATAAAAAAAACTAGTACTAAAAAGCTACCACCGAGTAACAGGCAAACAATCAATATTTGATTCAAATATAGTAAAATTATATGAAAAGCAAATATGGTATAATAGAAAATTCAGCATAAAATTCCTGTAAATATCTACTCACATGATTTTAAGAATTAGCTTGTAATTTGATCTTTAGATATGCTGAGGTCTTCCCATGATGCTGAAGTCTTTGATCCTTGTGAAGTGGATGGGCTCTGAGGATACTCAATATTTTGCAGAACTGCTTGCTCATGAACAGAGGAAACAAGCATCAATTTTGTGTCATCAGATGTGCTCTTTTGACAAGCTTCACATGATTTTGTACTCATGGCATACGGAACTGGGAGTAAATGCACAGGTACTGATAAAGCAAATTAAATGGCAATAGAAACACTGACATAGTAATAAGGGCATATATGTTTTCAGAACTTTATTTTTTTTTCAAAACTGAAGTCCTTTCACCCACAGAAATGCTAACAGGATTTAAAATAATATGGTATCTTCCATTAAAAGCATAGCCTGCACTTCTGAAGTCACGGATCAGTCAAGGATACCTAACACTGAAGATGATGAACAGCAGTGATGAACCAGATACATTTATAGTTGTGGGAAAAGAAAAAAAGAGAGAGATCTAAATGTTTTCCTTTTTTAGTGTGAACTTCACTTAAAAATATGTAATAAATAAGTGTGGTTCTGAGTATTTTACTTGGTGACTCTGGTTTTATATCCTAAATTATTTATACTAAATAAAATACAGCAGTTTCAGAAATAATGTCTTTAAGATAATACTTTTTTTTAAAAAATATCATTTTTGATAAATCTTGGAAGCCATATTACCTAAAGTTCAAGAAAAATCAATTAAAATTACTTCAGACACAGTAGACATAACAAAAAGCATATTTTATGAGACATTCAGTCAACATGTTGCCATGTATTTTCTGAAATACATTTATTGACAACTTTTCATGGGTCTCAACCTTTACAGTCTCCAGGACAATTACACTATTTGCCCAGTGCTGGAGTAAGTTTTTCCAAACTTTTCAAAGAGAGCAATTGATGGAAACAGTGTTTCAAAGTCCTAAAGAAAAGAGAGGAAAAAAAATGATGTTAGGCTTAAGTGGGTTTGGCTTTTTTTAAGGTATTTTAGAGTTCTAAATATTGTCTTCTAGTTACATTTCATTACATAGATAGAATGCAAATTATGCAAAATACTGAATATTATTTTGTAATTATATAAAAATTATAAAATATAATGTAATTTTACATTATATTAATATTACCTTGAAGAGGAGAAGAACAATGGATTTAATTGAAAGGAAATATGTATTTCAAACTCTCAGCAACTAGAAGAACTGCAGAAATTTCCTGCTCTAGAAACTATATTTCGCAAATCATGGTATACAAAAGTCTATTCTCCTCCCTGACAACCAGGCAGGTTAAAGAAAGCACAATAGCCTTGCTATATTTAAATTTTTCTACCCTGGTTAGCATTGTAATAGAGGTATTAAAACATCTCTATAAGAAATATTTTTTTAAAATTAATATATGTTTAGTACTAGTGGCAACAAATTGATTAGAAGAAGCAGGGTGATTCCTGAACAAGTTCTTTCCCCAGGTGAATTTCTTCTTCATTACATTCAATTTTTTAAATGTAAATGCTTAAAAATCTAAATTGAATAAGGGAAACACAAGTGAAGTTGTGTCTTAAGAGTACAATGTCAATTCAACCAACAAACAAGAAAGTAAAACAAACTAGCATATTTCGATTTGTCCACTAAACTAAAAAATACTTATGGTAAATTATTAGCAAGTCCATGGTATTTAAGATTAAGATTTTAAAGCCTTCTTAATAAAATTATTTTCTTTGAACTTGAAGTACTGAGGATAATGTAACAATAGAAAATACTTGGTTTGCATTAAAATGGCTTTAACTTTTAGAAAGTAACATGCCACAGATGAACTCTCAGCTTTCTAGGATCTGATGATTCATTTTTAAGAAGTTGTTCTGAATACTTTGTACTGTTTTCTATTGCCAACAAGTAGCTCTGTGAAAGTGGAGGAAATCAAAACATTTTCATGCAATGTCTGAGGCCATGAGTTAATGAAAGTGAAAAGTTTTATCTTTTCAACACATTTCCCAATTTGAAAGGCTTCATTTTCTCTTTAAAAGAGAATAAAAACTTTTTTTTTAAGGACATGAAACAGAATTATCATTCCCTGGACAATTTGGATTTCGCTGCTTCACAGACCACAGCTCAGCTGTATCTCTATCAACAGAGACCTCTGACTTCTAGTAAGCTTCATGCAAACACTGACTGGGCCCACCTGCCTTTCATCTGCCTTGCACGTTGCCAAACTGAGACCATATAATTTCTTACATCTCATGCTTAATTTTTTTACTATGATTCCTCCAAAATTCTGGTACATAAATCTTAAAATAGCAATGTAGACATACATTCAAAAAAAAATAATCCATGTGTGGTGTGAAAGTGAGTACTATCCCATTTCTAAATTATTCACAAGATTTACTTTTGAATGTTTCTCTATGCCAATTATACTGGCCAATTTCTTATTCAACAGATACAGCCTATTTTCATACTTTCATATTAAACTTTTAGGATGGCACAATATTCTAATTTTCAGTGTCTGTTTAGCATTACAAGCACCTTCTTATCATAGGAAAAGTTTTTAGTGTAATTATTATAATAAATATTATAGTATCTCCAACACAACTGCAAATGGTTTCCTTCTAAAGCGAAAGTAGTTATATTTAATTCAGCAAATGAACCAGACTAATTCTGTTCATGGGAATGGAAAAATCAACAAACCAGCTCTAGTTGCTGAGAAAGCAAGCAGATAATCCAGCAATAATTTAGGATTAAGCAGTATTTCAGAGCAGAACATGGTATCCATTATTTTTAAAACAGAAAGTATCTAATTAATTAACAGGCAGGACAGTTACATACAGCTCAACAAATCATGAATAGTTTAACAAGTGGTGAACTTTGGATGAGAAAGGGAAACCAGTGAAACCGTGCACCCCCCCATGTCAGGATAAAATCAGGAATGGGAAGGCTGAGCATTGCAGAGATCTTCATTTGCTGGAGCAGACGGCTTTTGCTATTAGGATTCCTGGCCAAACAAAAACAATTGGCTGCCAAAATTAGCTCCTTGGGACGATTTAGGAGCCTTTGAAGTGAACAGTGTTTTTGAGCTGGAACTAAGCCCAGGTCCAGGTTCAAACTCAAATTGAAATGACAAAGAGGAAATTTTTTGTGCCACACGCCCCCTCAGTGTAAGATTACTTTGGTTTGGCAGCTGTACTGTTTATTTTGTTATTTAAAACTATTCCACTAGATACTCACAGATGAGCATTTAAACAACTGGCTCTGATTATGACGACAGCAGTTATGTTTGACCACATTCAGGAAACATTACAGAGTCTGATGGATAAATAAAAGAACTGCTGGCTTTAGAGTTACATTAATTAAAGAAGTTTAGGATGTATATTAGGTAAAAATTGCATAGCATGCATTTAAAATATAAATATCTTTTTGGGAAAAAGATTTTGTTTCTATTTTTTTCTGCATTTGAAGATAAAGATTTTAATTGGATTTACACAGAGGCATAAAGTAAGGCCTGAAAACACCACCTGGCCTTGCAAGACCTACCTCACAGCATAAAGGGAAAGGAATTGAAAGCCAGGTTCTCACATCCATCTAATTAAATGTTGAGATGACCACTCCAAACTTGCAGTGATGCACTGCTCATTGATTCTGATAGCAATCATCTTGAATTTAGGCTCTTTGCTTCATAGCATAGAAGTTATAAATTTATGTAAATAATCCTTTTCAAAAACATAGGTTATGACTGGAGAAAAACAGGCTTCTTCAAAATTATTTTCACCATCAGTTCCTCTCTGTTGGTAGCTGGAATGAATAGACTTACAAATATGCATTCACCCATATTGGTGAGCTTAGTCTATAGTTTTGCACTCTTGGGATCACAGGAGCATGGAGCTGAGCTTTATGGAATTTTTCCACGATGCATTCTTAAATTATGCCATATAATTCTCAGCGTCAGAGACCTCTAATTCTCAGCACGGAGAATTACTTTGAAATTCACCAAAAAAAGTTGATATAACACTTCCTTTTTAAATTTGTCCAGCTTTGACTCCTTTCACTCTAGTAAATTATAGGTGACTCAAGTTCAACTGGCAGATCTTCAGAAGACCTATGGACCCTTTCAATATATTATAGACTTGAGCTTGTGAGCTCATCAGTTCAAAACAATGGAGTCAGAAAAGGTGGCATAAAGCCACCGAAGATTTGACTCAATCAGCACTCTGATGTCATAGATTAGACTTGCCAAATGGTTACATAGTCTAAATTTGGAATGTTATTAAAGCAAAATCCAAAGACATTTTTCATCTGACTATGCAGGCTTACATAAATACAGATCACGTACAAATGCTGGCAAATGAACAAGACCTTGTAGACCTTCAGATTGGTTGGGAGGCCCTTGAAAATGACTTCTGTGATATTCTAGAAACAAATTTGTACTAACAGTGTTTCTTTCCAAGCAATTTTGAGAGTACTGTACAATATTCCGTAATATAAAAATGCAGTTAAAATTGAGATAGGAATTACTACTGAGTATCTTCTTGGAAATTTAATGAAGTAGAAAGCTGCCTCAGACCAAAGTAAGAACAGACAAACAGCAGTAGCATATTGACTCAGATTCTAAGGCCAGGGAACACTATTATTACCATTTATTCTCAGCTCCTGCATACACACTTCAGGGTAATTTCATATCTCAAATCTCTCAAGTCCATAATAATTATGAAAATGTTAAGCATGTGATAAACTTGGAACAATAAGCATAAAATAAACTCACATTATCTGATTTACAAGATCCTTTCTCTGTAATGATAAAACTTGTGTTTGCTGAATAAGAAGAGATTTGGTAGCATGAATTGAGACTAAATTTGTGTTAGGCTGTACAAATATAGATTTCCTTCATGGGTTAGTAGAAGCAACTTGTGCAGAAGTTTCAAATATAAATTGTATAATGAAAAGCATTCTCTGAAATGTAAAGCATTCCATCAATAGTAGATATTCAGAGCAGTGATTCCTCTTCTGAGTCAATCAAAAAATACTAAAGACAGTGTATAAATGCATTATGCCAACCATGGCACCGTGTACTGTATAAAAGGTAAACCAATCCATGAAAAGTTTGCATCTGAGAAAAACCCTTTTGTAGAGCTGGAATTGTATCTGTTGCTCCTATAGGGACTTTAGGCCTCTTCTGTTCTTCTCTTTATAGAATACCTATTCTGAATGTAAATTGTGTTAGGAATTAATGGCAGCTGGAATAACTGAAAGACAAGGACAGCTGCTGGAATCATAATTCTATCTTCATGCTACTGAGTAGTAAAACCAGGAAACAATAATTTGAAACCACAGGTACACACCAAGACCTTAGAGGAGGCAGTGGGAAATTCTGCACAAATGGCCCTGCAGCAGATACATTCTTAGTTTAGGGTAACCCACTGAGCAATCTTTCTTTCCCACAAAGTGAGGAGACATCCCATGTGCACAGCAGTATTGCCAAGTGTCACTGCACAGCTCTCGTCCACAACCCCACCTATTTAACACTAAGTGGTCATATTTAAAGAGTTTCCTATGGTCCTAATGCTTGCAATAGTAAAATTAAAGTTTTAAATTGAGCTGTCATAGTAAACCTAATGACCTGTTAGTAGCCACAGAGGTCTCCAACAAGGAAGCAAACCACAAACAGCAAGCTGTTAGACAAGTAAAATGTTGATCCAGCTAACTTTTATTTTCAGCAGATTTATCAATACTGGTTAACAATACTTCCAACTAGTACAGGGCCTTCTGACATGACAAAATGAGTGTAACAACCCATTCTGTCAATACAACACAAATGTCATTTCATGTGCTCAAAACCCACTAAGCTACCCTAAAAAAGATTGATTTATCTGCTCCAATGTTTCTTTGGGGCAAACTTTTCTCACAACTGAAACCAATTAGTGGGCCTGGCACTTGTAGTGCAAAA